TTTAAATTGTTTCAAGTTTTTGTTATACACTGCATTTTTAAACAACCAACCAAACAAAAAAACGAGATTTAGAATTGTAATATTAGAGCATCTTGCCAATAAATAAAGGATGTCACTATCCCATTTAGTAATTTTCTATCCAAAACTTTTCTGGTGAAATCTGAGTAATATGAAGACACAATGTCCTCTTAAAAGATTGTTGTTTTTTAAAATCCTTCTGGAGAGTTGTAGAAAACAAGCAATGGTCCTATATACTCAGATAGTTTACTCCTGTAAGTTTTCCAAAAATGTAAGTCTCAGACAGTTACACAATAAAAGCACTTAAGATTATGTGGTTACCTACTTGGATATACGTTGTGGTGTAAGGAATATTGGCATGGAATGAGAAATCAGAGAGCCGAGTTCAAATTCCAGTTGGGTTCGTTACATTCACTTATGCACAAATACCTTTGGGAAAGGTATGAATCTATCCCTTCTCCCCCCAGCTATGGTTTGAATAACAACAGAGACTGGATCCTATAGCCTTGGTTGGCAACCAGTCTGCCGCAGAAAGAAATGGTAAGATTTTCTGCCTAGCCAGTTATGAACTGAAAGTGACACGATCACCCAAGCCTGTATCATGCATGGTACTTAACTGAATGACTTGTTACAAGTACTCCTGATTTTCAACTTTTTAAAAAAAAAAAAAAAAAAAAAATCAAGGTAAAATTGAATAATTTGGCTAGCATTCATTAATAAGACAAATTTTGACTGACTGATTTTTTTTTTTACAGTTTATCAACCCTTTATGTGATATTTAAAGCCAAAACATATTTTGGATTGTAAAAATTCTTTTTTTCTTTTTGTGAGTGAATATTGCATTAACAATTTATTTGAGAATAACTATTTTTCCAGATAGATGTCCTACTGTTTAAACCCATAGCTGGGGGAAGGAGATGGATACATACCTTTTCTAAGGGTATTTATTTGTATGCAAGTGAATGTAACTCCTGTACTCTTTCCATAAATGAAGATTTGTAAATTCTTATTGATGACAACCCCATCCAGACATTCACATTTGGGCTTGAGTGATATTTACCAACTGTTTCTGTGTTGGGTTCACTGCCCCCAAAAACATCTCTCTCATAATGTAGATAGATAAATTTGTTATTTAAAATATCTCAATGTGACTTGTTTTTTTTCTTTCCTATTTATGTCATCTGAATATCTGAAAGTCACAACACTCAATTTAGCAGATGTATGTCAAGCATTCAAAAACTAGCGATATTCTTCTTTTGAAAACTTGGCAACCAACCCACTAAACACTTAAAACCCAAAATAGATGAAAAGCAAAAAGAAAAAAGAAAAAGATTTTTTAGCAATTCAAACAATAAGTAGAATTATTAATTCTCAATAGAGGAACAACCATTGTTAATGAAAATCTGAAATCTTTCATGAAAACCAAATAGCATTTTGATGCATTTCATGTGTTATCAAAACGATAGATTTGGATTGGTTTTCAAACTTCAGGTATTACTCTCCATTGATTGTAGCTCATAATTTTTCTGTAGGTGTCCTGTTTTTTTAGAGGCAATCTGTCATTTGAGGTATCAATCCATAAGACTTTATGTATTTTGTCTCTTTCAATCATGCTATTCAAAACAGATAAACCAATCTTCAGTCACTGCAAACAATCCACTAGGCTCCTGTTGTCAACATAAGAATTTATTTTTAACCTGCCACAAAATGCTCCAGATATACAGTGCAGTTTCTGCATATTCAAGCCATGCCAAAATCTCAGTAGCCAAAGTTGATTTAACTACAATAAGCTATTGCAGCAAAGAAAGGCTCAATTACTTTACTCACTTTGCTGTAATAGCTTCCTATAGCTTAATGTTAAAGCACACCTGACTTGTTGCCTAACTACAGTTATTCTGTGAGTTCATGCTAGCATAAAGTAACAAGTCAATGTGACTGAAGGTTTGAACATACTGGCTATTTTGATATTCCATAAGTCATGTATCATTTTTTATCTTTAGAATTTTTATTTCTTGCCTATTATACTGCTGCAGAAAATTTCAGATGTGCGATTTAAATACACTTTAAAATTTTCAGCAAATGATTTCTATTTTGACATAGAAAAAAAAAACTTGTATACAAAAATCTGTCACAGACTTCTGAAAATTCCAAAGATGCATTTCTGGAATGGAGTTATCATTATTTGCAGAACTGTATCTCATGTATAGCTACTCAATATAATGTTAAGAAGAAGAGATAATGTTGGATTAAAAAGTCTATTAAATGCTTAAAAATTAAGCAGAGCTTCTTTATAGTGTGCAATACCGATTAAAGCCATATGGCTCCTTGTACCACCTTAGCAAATACCTGATAGTTTAAAGCAATTAGTTTGCCGGCCACTGAGCAGACAGGGAAATCATCTCATCCTTACTTCTATAGCATCCTTCAAGAAGTGTCTTTTCATGAAAATTGACTTTCGCAGACACCATAGCTTGGGACTCATGTTTGAACGTTGGGGATTTGGGGACAACAATACAGAACTGAACAGTGTGAAAAGGGATTGACAATGGAGTTCCGACCAACCATAGGGAGGTTGAAGCATGATGATGAAAATCCTGATTCCTCCCACAAGAGGGAGTGTAGCATTGCAACTCAGACCAGATGCAGCTTATTCCATTCGAAAGCATGTGGCTTAATAAAATAACTTTTTGGCTAGATTGTCACCCACAAGCCGATTGTAGCAGTAAGCAATTTCATTCTGGTTGTAACCTTCTCCTGTAGACAAGCAAGGCAGGGATGAAACAGGCGTCTTACTTTTTGCATCACAGTGACTGGTCTCTTGTTCTTTCTGTCCACACTCTGTTTTCTGTGCTAGTGACCACTGTTTTATAGAGGACAGTGTTGTCTCATCATGAATGTCTAAAAAAATAATAATTTATCAAGAACACAATGTCTTGTATCACTCATTGACCTTCCTTGTCAGGGTCGTTCTTATGAGGTCCACTTCACTTAGCTGATAATCATCAGGACAATAACTGTCTAAAACAATATCAGTAATATCTTTCCGATGTTTCCATTTAACAAGATATCAGCTGACACTGATATTGCAACATCAGATTAGACCAAAAATGGAGTATAGCTACTATATCTAGGATGAAATTGCTCCATTCTCACTTGCATGTCTTGATGGTTCAAAAGCATATACATGGTATTGTGGGTGATGAATTATTTTCAACACTACAAACCCTTCTCCCACAGATGAAACATTGAAAGCCTCTCACTACTCAATCGTTATTTCCATGGTATGTGTTCTGATGCGCTACATTCCTTATTTCCAGCAGAGCTGAACTTTACAGTTAAGACATACCATTCCACATACACATGGATAATCATCCTCATTGTCTTCATATTCTATTAGTATGAAGTAAATTCCATTCAAATAGCTTCTCCCCAAGAACTGCTGCTTTGTGGAACAGACACCTGACAGTATGTTTTTTTGTTCGTTAAAATCTTAACCTTGTCAATAGGTTTAACCGTTATCTTTCCCACATAACCTCATTAACTGCACTTCTGTGGCTTTATAAAATAACTTTTTGGCTAGATCGTCACCCACAAGCCAATTACAGCAGTAAGTGATTTTATTCTGGTTGTAACCTTCTGCTGTAGATGAGCAAGGTAAAGATGAAACAGGTGTCTTTCTTTTCACGCTACAGCGACTGGTCTCTTGTCCTTTTAATTTTCACTATATTTTATCTCTGCTAGTGACCCTTGTTTCATAGAGAACAGCGTTTTCTCATCATCAATGTCTAAAAAAATAATTTATTATGGTAAGGGTTCTGATGTGCTGCATTCCTTATTTCCACCAGAGCTGAACTTTACAGATAAGACACACCATTCCACGTACACATGGATGAATCATTCTCATTGCCTTCATATTCCATTAGCATGAAGTAAGTTCCATTTGGACAGCTTCTTCTCAAGAACTGCTGCTTTGTGGAACAGACTCACGATACAATGTTTTCCTGATTGCTAGAATCTTAACCTCTTCAAGTCTAGGTTTAACTAGTATTTTTCCCACATAACCTCATTAACTGCACTTCTTTCCTTCTCCCATGCTCATACAACATCATACAATAATCCTCTACCTTCTGTGGCTCTTGGACTTTTTATTGGCTGAAGATTAGTATAAAAAAATGTAATTGTAAGAATTGTGGGGGGAGATAATGATTTAGTGATACAAGTCTTACTAATTAACCCATAGCTGGGGAGAGAAGAGATAGATTCATAGCTTTCCCAAAGGTATTTGCACGTAAGTGAATATAGCAAACCCAACTGAAATTGGAACTTGGCTCTCCAATTAACAATTCCGAGCCATTATACATTGCACAACCTGTACTTCCAAGCTTACAGCACCTAGTATTCCCAAGTGGTCACCTATATATTTACTGACCGGACTTGACATTGCTTAACTTAGGTGATTGTACAGGAACTGATGTTTCAATGCTATATTGCCGTAATCTAAGATACTACTGCCTTTGAAAGAGTACAGATCATTATTTATTTGCATTTTTTAATGACATTAAAAAAAAAGAATTACTAACATGAAAACATTAATGTCTACTTTGAGAATAATAAAATCACAAAAAAAGTTGAAACTGACCCAATATCAGGACATGTTTTTATTTATTTATTTCTCTTCATTTTCAATAAAGGATTTTAAGACTGATACAGCCAAAGACTCATTTGTAATAAAGGAGTAAGAGTCATATTTCTGTTGTTGTCTTCTTCAACATCTCTTCATTTTTATTATTGTTGTTGTTGTGCCAATCACCAGTACCATTTTTAATCCCAATACCCCCATCAAGAGAGATCCATTCATCCTATGATTAATCCTCCTTGTTGATTGAACCAATCACTGTAAGAGGATAGAGCACTTTGCACATCTGTTCTGCCTTGCAAGCTTTTCTAATTTAGTTTTATTACAGGACACACTTTGCTTAGACTGAAGTCAAATTCTGGAGCTTCCTGAAAGTATAAGAGGAAGATAAGGAAGAGGTTTTAGTTATGAAGATAAAAAAAATAACAAGTTTGGTTTATAAGATAAAATCACTCATCTGTTAATAGGCTGAATTATTCATTATAACAAAAAACATTTAAAAGCTGTTGGAATCCCACTTTTTCACTCAGTCAACCTGTGTACAATTTACAGACAAAATACAGTAAACCTTCAAGTTAATGGATCCTGAGAATAATGGTTGATTTTGATTTAACAAACTTTATCAGAACTTACAAACAGTTAGGTTCATACCTTTCTCAAGGTTATTAGAATGTAATAAACTCAACTGGAATTCAAACTTAGCCCTCTGATTCCTCAATTTAAACTGCAATCCATTACTCTACAGTATGTCCTGTTATCAGATATAAATAAAATATAAATTGCATTGAATATTTCTTTTATAATCCCCAATATCTTTTTAATTATGCCTAAAATAAATCTCATTTTAAGGATTCAACTTAACTGAGCCCAGTATAATGGATTTCAGATTTAACAGACATTATCACAAGGCTGAGATTGAGCTTGGACCAAAATTTATTAGTCTTTTATAAAATATTATAAATTGCCTTTCATTTTTATTTTATAATAATCAATATAAAATAAATCTTATTTAGAAGAACATGTCACCTTGCAGTTTGAATAGTTATTTAAAACCTGTTACCTAGCAGTTTAAGCAGTTATTTAGAAGAACATGTTACCTAGCAGTTCAAACAGTTATTTAGAAGGACATGTTACCTAGCACTTCAAGCAGTTATTTAGAAGGACATGTTACCTAGCACTTCAAGCAGTTATTTAGAAGGACATGTTACCTAGCACTTCAAGCAGTTATTTAGAAGGACATGTTACCTAGCAGTTCAAACAGTTATTTAGAAGAACATGTTACTTAGCACTTCAAGCAGTTATTTAGAAGGACAAGTTATTTAGCAGTTCTAACTTTCTTTGTGATATACCCTATCAAATGCTTTTGCATTACTAGCAAAATAACAAAAATTCAATCTATTATAATAATTCCTTCAGTTGTCTTTGGTTTAAATAATGATTTACCCCATGGCTTCCCAGATTCATTTATTGATAATGAATCAGATTCCCATTGTAATCTACATGTAAACAAGACTGTAGCCCAATTCCTTCTTTTCAAAGCACACATTGATGCAGCTGTACTAAATTACAAATCAGTAGATCAGATTTCAAATTCTGATTGTGTTTGCTGCTGCTGCTGTCAATTTTATGCTAACACCAATTTTCTCTGTACAAAAAATACTTGCCTTTAACATTTGCTGGTTTAAATTCTGTCATGTCAGAAGAGATAAAAGCACAGAATGAATAAATGATGCATTTTATACTTTTTGACCCATAAACTGTGGCAGAAATGTCTACCATTTGCAGCTGTGTTACAGAACTTCAATGATGGAAATTCCATTAATTGGCAACTAATGGGTTAATAATCTTCTGCTTAGGATATAGTAGAATATATAATCACTATATCCATTGTCATTGCTTTTCAAACCTGTAGTGCAAATAGGAACTGTATATTCAATTAATATTTCTTAGATATGGCTCATCAAAATATTTTTTATATACTTACTGAAGAATCCTTTTTATGGCCACTGAGTAAAAGTTTCATCACAACAAAGTTTGTCTTGGCAATCTTTATTAAATTTTGAATCTGAAAGGGATTATAAATAGGTTCCAGTAGAGAAAAAACACATGAAAATTGATATTTACAAATTAGTAATCAAAAATTTAAATGACTGGGAAAAGCAAAAAAAATTACAAAGAAACCAATTGTTATTAACAGCAATCACATGGCAGATTTTATCAACATTAACGACTTCAAAGATGAGAAAAGTAAATAATCGTTTGACCCTTTTCTCAAGAATGACATGACAAAGACATTTACACAATTCCAAGAGTTGCTCAAGTTACTGAACTCATTCTTGGTGTTGTTTTCATTGCTACAGCATTTTGTTTATTCTATTTTACAGCTTTCCTCATATGGAAAGAAAGAGAAATCTCTTTCTTCACAAGATTGTACAGTGGATTGTTTAAAATGTAACGACAAAAGCAATATAAAGTTCAATAATTCAGGTAACTCTTGGAATGACAGTACCCATAAACTCATTTGTTTTAACTCTGGTTATATAAGGTATCTTCTATACAAATTGTACATTTGAAAAAGGTTGTAGAATGAATTGATTGAAACATTGTAGAGACTCTGCAAATTGAATGAATAGGCCAAACAAATGCATAGTGCATAGTGCTGAGATTGCTTGCATGATCATTTCTTGCCATGTTGCAATAACATTCCTCAATGACATTTACAGTCAGTTGTTCTACTTTATGAAAATTTGAAAAAAATTGAAAACTGGTAGTTTAGTGAAAAGTATTAACATGACTGCTGTTTTTGATTATTTAATTTTATTTGATTATTTAATGCTGAAATCTAAATATTTTGTATGTAATTTTATGCTTTCAGGGTAAGCATGTTTTTCAGGTATATAGTTTGTAGATCATAAAATGTATTGTTAGTAATTTTTTTTTATTGTATTGCTGGTAATTTCACTACAAAAATATATTGTTGGTAATTTTTTTTTTTATAAAAAAATATATTCCTTGTAATTTTACTATAAAAATTTATTGTTGGTCATTTTACTATGGAAAATGTACTGTTGATTTTTGCTTGGTGGGGTCACTATTTGTCCATAGCTGGGACCCTAACTTAGGGTGGACTTGGGAACAACAGCAACTCCTCTAAACCTCCTGATCTGAAACCTTGCTGCCAGATGTAGTTTATTGTCATACTCAGGACAGTATTCATACAAATCTTTCTAGTATTGTTGAGGGATACACACTTGACACCATCATTGTAATCTATTGCAAAATGAACTTCAAGGACACCAAGAACTATATCAGCTAATATTTGTTTCCTTTTTGCTGATATAAGAAATGAAAAGTTATTTTTTTGTAAATCTGGGCAAAGAAAAAATAAATATTTAAATTTTGTTTTTTAAAAAATAAAACAAGAGATGTCACTAATTCAATTACTGTATTTTCTTGAGTATAATACTACACTGTGTTTCTGAAGCTAAAAACTGGAAATAAATTTCAACCTCAAATACAACCCCATAGTACATTGTTTATAGATAAATTTCTTTTTTTTTTTTTAAATCTCAGTGTTGTACATATATTTCACTGAAACATTTATTTTTTCATGATTTTAAAGAATAGAAAGGAACTGGATGTTTAGCCATTGTGTGTTTCTTCTCTTTTAATTTTGGTTTCAAAACTTATTTTCAGAGAAAGATGCTTTGTTGTAGCATTAATGTTATAAAAATATGATAGATCTTGTGTATTCCCTTTATTAATTTTTTAATCAATTTCGGCAAATTTCAACAAATATTGCCGACATATCAAATACCTTTTGTAAACAATTGTTATCAACACCTGCCTACTTAGTGTTTTATTATCTGTTGTGCTGAGTGTATTTGCAATCTTGTTGTTTCAAATAAGGTTTTTAAGGTAAAAAATCCTGAAAGCATGTACTTGTGTATAGTACAAACCTATTTTTTGCCTTTTAATGAAACTACAACCATTCAACATCAAATGTCCTTTATAAAACTTGATGTCGGACACAGGTTGACTTTAGCCACTGTCATAAAGCAGACTCACTTTGTTAACCTTCTAGTTACAGATACACAGTACAGTGTATAACGAAAGAATATCCACCTTGACTGATGAAACAACTATCAACCCTTCATTCCCATCAATCTACTGTTGCTATTTTAAAATTTTCAAATAAATGTCAACATAATCAGACCTGGAATATTAATTTTCTACTGCAGTCACATAGTGAGTTCTTCTTTATTAATAAAATGATCAAATTTAGTCACAGGAAATTTCATAGCTATGAGGCTAAATGTAGATAAAGTTTAAAAGCACTAAGAGAAGTAGATATTTTCTTTACAATCATATACAATATTCAGTTGATAAAAAGTAACCAAAGTTCTATTGTACATTTCATTTGTAAAAAGCATTTAGCATGTCAAAAGTACAACCATAATTTGTTTACCTACCAGGATACACATTGTGTATAGAAGAGAGAGAGAGAGTGAAAAAAAGAAGACTTACTTCCTCATTAGGATTGGGGATATTTTCATAAAATGTTTTTGCTTGATGAAAATGTTTACAGGCAAGTCCATACATTTCTGTAGATGCTCGTTCATAATTGTATTTAGCAGGATCATTCATTTCCTACAATGGTTAAAAAAAATATGGAAGAATCTCACCGTCATAAAACATTGACTTACAAGAATGCAAAAATACTGAATATGCAAATTCTTTTGTGCTAAAAAAAATTGTCATCATAACACTCAATTTGCTTTTATATTTTACAACAAGCAGTGGCACATGTTGGAAATAAATAAAAGTAGCTTCTGATGAGATTTGAACTCATATTCATGAATACTTGCCTGATATGATCAGTGACTTACTCATTAATCAATGGAAGCCAATCAATAAATATTCATATTTAGTCAGATAGATATACTTTTCTTTATTTATTTATGTCAGAATGTCATCTCCTCCCCTTTCCAAGATTGTCTGACTCAAAAGGTGCATTCCAAATAATATGTATATAGTATTGAAAATCTTCAATCTTTTCCATACTAGTGCATATACATTTATATGGATTATTTTTTATAGAGGGGCACTCATGATATGCACCAAATTCTGTAAATTAAAAAACAAGAGAAAGTAAAAGACACCCCACCCGAAACCCTGTGAATAACCCCTGGTTGAGAAACCTTGTTCTAGTTGTTATTAAACATTTTGATATTATATTTTCATGCACTTAAAAATTATTAAGGACCTCTAAAAAAGGTTTTGCATATCTATGTCATGAAGATTAATATTGATTGTGCAAGAAGTTAAAACTGATAGTTTTGTAAAAATATTAATTTAAAAGTAATAATAATCACATTTGTTTACATTTTTGCAAATCTATGTCTGATTTATAGATATAAAAACATGTAAAACAAATTCTTACAACTTAAACGTAGAAATAATATTGCCACATTTACCAAATAGAATTACAGAATATACTATTTAAATTCAAATGAGTAACAATATTTTGAGAATATAAGTTTGCCACATGGAGTAATATTATATCTGTGTGTGTGTATATATAACATTTGTATCCAGTATTTCTATTTGGCAAATCTGAAACAAAACAACTCAAGACTTTCTAAGATATTATTTGCCTTTTTAGCTGTCATTTTCATAATGGGTGCAAAAGAAATTTCATTGATGGATTTTTCTTTTTTATGATTTCACCCCAAGCAAAACAATAAAACCACAAAGTCAGAAAATCTCTGACAGTTACACAACACAAAACAAGGGGTTACTGAGTGTGAGAGAATATGAGAAAATGAAAACAATAAGGAGAGAGAATAATAAAAGAACAGGAATTAAGAAGAAGAAAATGATTGACATTGCATTTAAATTTATGAAGATCAAATTTGACTTAAAAGCAAAATGTCAGAAGAGAGTTCCACAAGTGAGAAGTGTGAGAGAAAAAAACTGTTAGCCATGTCAACTGCAAAATGATGAGACCTTGCAACTAATCTAGTACTGTGCTTAAAGTCATAAAATCTAGGTACTTTAGAGGAAAGTACATCAGAATAATTACCATGAAAGTATTTATAAAAAGACAGGGAAGCTATGTTATGACAGTAGAAAGGTGATTGAAGCCAAGATGCCAATATCATTATAGATTCTTCTTTGTGTTTTTATCAAGAATCTCAAAATATGTAGTAGAAGCACTAGACCATATGTGGCAGCAATATTCAATGCCTGGATGAATGGTAGACTTACAATTGATAATTATTTAATGGAAATAGTTTTGACACCTGCAATGCAGCTGTCCACAGATCACACCTTGAGAAATACAGTTTTGGGATTTAATTATAAAAAATTTAACTAGAAGTAGCAAATTTCAATAATACTTAAATTTAAATCTTTAATTTTAGATCTAAGTAATATTCCAAAAAATAGCAATAGATTTCAAGAAGAAGAAGAAAAACTGTCTTAAGACAAAAATCAGTTGAGAGAGATGGAATTAATCTCAGAATATCTCTGACAGTTCCATAACACAAACATTTAAGATTATGTGTTTACCTACTTACAAGTAATCCAAATTTTTTTAATTGAGACAAAATTGAATAATTTGGCTAGAATTCATTAATAATAAGACAAGTTTTGATTGATTTTTTTTACAGCTTATCAACAACCTATAGCAGGTTATTTAACTCTTTAGCACCGACATGCTCAGACCCAGCCTGTAAATGTTAGTTGTCAAAATATACTGTTTGCATGATTTCCTGTATTATTTGTAATAATGTCATCATATATTATGTCAAAGTATATATGGGGTGGATTATGGCAAATTGAACATTGCGAGCTGATATTTATGGGGTGTGTTGAATGCTAAAGGGTTAAAGCAAAAACATATTTTGGATTATTGTAAGAATTATTTTTTTTTTGCGAGTGAATATTGTATTAACAATTTATTTGGTAATAGTGATTTTTCCAGATAAAAGTTCTACTGCTAAACCCATAGCTGGAGGGAGGAGATAGATTTTTACCTTTCCTAAGGGTATTTGCATGCAAGTGAATGTAATGAATCTGACTGGAATTTGAACTCAGTACTCAGATTTCTCATTCTGAGATGCTATCCATTGCAGCACCTGCACATCCACAATAAGAAAAGAATCTTGGAAGACATACCTTGTAACGTGAATAATGTACCATGGGAGGTGTAACAAAATGCACAAAAGGAGCAAATCGATGAGAATAGCGAACTTCTTCATTGTCAAATTCAAACTTTGCCTGCTTCATCCTGCCATCCAACTGGAAGCCCATCAAAGCCTGGAAAAAAAATTGAGAGTTCAATTCTTGGAGTAGGTAGTGTATGAATATACAATGGTGAGGCATCATAAAAAAGACAAAATACAAATGGTTAGAAATTCAGGAATTTCCTCAGAAGGATACTAGACATGGAAAATATAGGCATGAGAGTAAAATTCTTGGAAGGTTACTGAATATCAGTGAGGTTACAGCATCTGAAATATGATAAATACAACACAGATGAAGAAACGGGTTCAAAAGAATATATATCCAGAAGAGTTCAAAACCCTGGGCTAGGTAGTGTAGATATATGTACACAAGTTCAGTGGAGAAACAGTCTGAGATCATAAGAAAAATTGATGGTTACAAGCTCTGAAATTTTCTCGGGACACGGGACATAAGTGAAAGAAGAAATTAACATTACTTACTGGAAAGAAAGATTGGTATCCTAAAAGAAAACTGATTGTTATAAGCTTGGTTTTTTTGACTGATTTGTTTTTTATAACTTATCAACCCTTTGCAGGTTATTTAAAGCTAGAAAATATTTTTAAATGGTAAGAATATTTTTTGAAATAATAATGACTCAGTGATGCAAGTCCTACTCTAATTAACCTATAGCTGTGGGAAGAAGAGGTGGTTTCATACTTTTTGCAAGGGTATTTGCATATAACTGAATATAACAAACCCAACAAGAATAGGAACCTGTTCTCCAATTTCCAATTCCAAGTGATTATCCATTACACCACCTGAACATTCAAGCTTAAAGGACTTGGTATTCCGAAGGGGTCACCCATTTATGTACTGACCAGGTTTAACATTGCTTAATTTCAGTGATCATATGAGGACTGGTGTTTTATGAGTTTGGGAATTAAGAACACCAGATGTGGGATGTAATGTACCATTATGGATTAGATAAAGGGATAAAAGTAGGAGATACCTGAGGGTAGAGCAATTCTGGGGCAGCCTATTGTAACATGCTCAAAAGAACATCCCTAATTTCTGTTTTATGTGTATTAATAACTATGTATTTTTTTAAGATATAGAAATTATTTGAATTATATACTCTAACATTTTTGTTATTATTTAACTCTTTCCTAAAAAAATAGTGGAGTTGATAATTTTTTGTGCATTACTATTAAAAAAAAATTGTGTAACATATTTGATAGCATATCTAAGCTGTCAGCTGTATACAACTCCTTTCTAAGATCAATGGTTAAAAATGGCTTTGTGCAAGTGAAGACTGTGGCTCTTTGCAAATACTATCCTTTTTCAAACATTGTGAATTAGTGCTACAGAATATCAAACAAAGAATTGTAGCAAATAACAGAAATCACATCACTTGAGGACTTTCAACAGTAGCAACAACTAAAATGGATATCATATGTTACTGAAAGAAAATAATGACAGGATCAAGATCTTGATGTTCCATACTACTTCAAACAAAAGTTTAGAAAGGAAACCCCCATCAATACTAGAAAGAGTGATAACAGCTACTGAACTTGAGAAAGCCTGTTGCCCTGAAAAATTCTTTTACGAGAAAGATTTTATAAATTTCAACTGAAAGTAGTACTTATAAGAAAATGGCTAATATTACTATTACCATGTAACATAACTCCGACCTCTCAGACATGATTTCTCTTATTAAAGAGATAATGAATATATTAATGATAATAACAATATACATACACTAAGTTCAGAAGGGATGATTGATTACAATGGGGGCTATATAATATTACAGAGTTAGGTTTTTCTCATAGATGCAATAGGTGTTGATCCTGTAGCACTATTGCCATGGCAAATATTCAGACGAGCTGCATTCTTTAATTTCACCAGTTCAGACCTTTACAGCTATGGCATACAATGCTACTTCCATGAAGTTGAATCACCCTCGTTTACACTGTGTCCCAAATGTAAAAAGAAAATTCCACTCTGACAGTTTTTCCCCCAAGAACTGCCACTTTATTGTACTGACACTACAATCTTCTTCAATTCAAGGGTCAATCATTATCTAACCTCCTTATCTTTACCTCCTACCACACATTTCATTTATCATTACCATTTTAACAGTAATCCTCTAACAAGACTTGTATTGTAGTATGGAGAAAAAAACAAAAAACAAACCTAGGTACAAATACTGGTAACCTTCAGCATTTGGGTAAACATTAGGCTGTAAAAGAGATCAATTTTGTATGAAGAGAATATTTTTAAGATATTGTTTCGGAAAAATAAGCAAGTCCCATAAGCTATCAAATACAGCATATTAAATACTGGCTTGATTTTATAATATTAATTTCATAATAAAGCTATATAATAAGCAGTTATTAGTAAATATAGTTATTTACTCAGTTGATATTAGGTTGGCACAAGGCTACAAGCATGAAACACCCAATGAAGATCCAATTCACTACACAGTAGGAATAATATATTGCTAAATCATTGCACAAATGACAAGGTGCTCAGCATTCTTGAATATGCAACTGATGACATCTCCCAATTCAAAGTACTGTATATATTATAATACTTGTGTAATGCGTGATCTTGTGTATCGTATGACCCCCTAAATTTTCACTTATAAAAAATGATTTTATCATGTACCTTGTGTATCATGCGGTTTCTTTTTTTTGAGAGACCAAATTATAATAGACTAACCTCTTTTCTTCTATTTCTTTATCATATCTTCTAGTTAAATAAATTAAAAAAGTAAAAGAGAATGATAAAAGTATTGTTAGTAACGCTATACTCATTGCGTAAATGTCTACAGCCATAAGCAACTAAACAAGAAACAGCTAAAAAATCTTATAAATGTAAACAATAGAAAAGATGCATATTCACTATGTTTGTATTTTATAATATGATAGTAATATGTGAATATTACATGCATTATTATTGGATACAGTTAAGTAAAACATCAGTTTTATCAAAATCTTGTTTGTTTTAAATACAGTTTTACTTTTTAACTACATTAAATATATATAGTTTGGTTAACAGTGTAGCCAGGGCCAGCAGTATATATGCTAATTTTATATCTTGTGTATGATGTGACCCTCTTAACATTACCTTCAAATTTAGGTCTTCAAAAGTTGTATGATATATGAGGATATATGGTATTTTAAAGCTATCTATTCAAAATTCATTAATGGTGGCAAAGGCCTTTTATTAAAAATAAATATTTTCTATTCCATGTCCCATCAAGCTTTTTGTTTTGTTTGTCAAGAAAAACAAGTGTAAAAAATCATTGTTAATTTAAAATTCCCAATTAATATCATTTAGTAAATTTGTGCATTTAAATTGTCAAAATGAGAGGACATCAACACCAAATTTTGATGAATAGAATTTGACTTAAGAAAGAAAAAGAAAAAAAAAGAAGAAATCCTACATTCAAAAAAGTCAGTTTTTAGGTTATTAGAAATAAAGTTAAGCTATTTTACTGTACAATAAATTAAACTTGGTTTATTATGAATTATGACTAAGTAAACATCCTGAAATGTTTTATACACAGATTAGTAACACTTGATATAACAAAGTCATATGTCAGCCACACCTTCCAATGATCTTTACAGTACCAGAGAAAGATGGAAATCAGTAAGTCATTCCATTACAGAATCAGCTAAAAGATTATTATACAAAAAAATAAACTCTGTGATATGTAGAACTGTTACAGGGATTATGAATATATTAATAAAATAATAATATAAGCACAAAGTCCCAAATTCAGCAGAGATGATTGATTAAAAATGGTGATCTAAGATGTGCTTATGGCCATATTGCATTAAACCACCATTTCTTGTCTGATCACCAAAGTTAAGCAATGTTGAGTCTTGTCAGTACTTAGATAGGTGATCACTGGATAATACTGGGTACCATAAACTATGTGACAGGCCTAGCAAACTAGTGATGGGTACAATCATGCTACTTATACTAACAGAAGACCTTGTTATGTGGAGATGCTTTTGGACTAACGGTCTGCAAAACATACCTGGTGAGTGATGAACGCTAAGATATGTCGCCAAAATGTCTGTCTAAACTGAACTGGTCAGTCTGTTCATTTGGTTACCCAGCATTTCTAATTATTATGGACACAGGGGGATTTCAAGAGATATATTACACATATCTCTTGAAATCTCTTGATCAAGAAAGAGCCTTATTTTCTAATGGTGAGTTAACTTTCTTTGAGGAAGACATTTTGTGCCTAAGTTTTAAAAAGCTTAGTGTATAACCTAGTATTAAATATATACTACACATTTAACAAAATATGTTTTAGATTTTGAATTATAACTAAGTTCTGTTTGGTGGATGAGGTAGTTGCATATTTTTCTATCAACGTTTGTATTCATATGAGTTCTGTTAAGTTTGAATTTTGAATACTGAATTTCAAGATAGGTAGATACTCTGTATTTGAAAATGGGTTGCAACACAAACATCCTATTTCCCATTAGGAAATATTAACTGTTTCCTTACAAGGAAACATTTGGCATTTATTGACTGAGCAGACAGTACTGCATCCAGTTGAAATTTATAAACTCTTTCTCTTAAAACAATTTTTCCAGATCAGTAACTGTTATCACTCTTTCCATTTATGTGTGTGTGGGTCATTAATAATATTTTATTTGAAGTGGTTAACCACCTTACATCCCATAATCTTCTCTCAGACAAGCAATATGGTTTCCGCTATGCCCGATCTACAGCTGATGTGCTTACGGCCATCACTGAAACCGTCTACCAAGCCCTTCAAAATAACGGTGAGGCTTGTGCTGTGGCCCTAGACATCTCCAAAGCGTTTGATAGGGTTTGGTATGCCAGCCTTCTTTGTAAGCTCCAGGGTTATGGTATTACTGGTCGACTGTTTGATCTAATACAATCATTCCTGTCAAACCGAGAATTGAAGGTCGTTCTCAACGGATTCTCCTCCAGTTCCTATCCTATGAACGCAGGTGTTCCCCAAGGCTCCATCCTTGGCCCCACTCTTTTCCTTATTTTCATCAATGACCTTCCTGACGCCATATATTCCCAAGTTGGCATCT